AGAAATCACCCCTCAGGGCAGATAGCCATGCCGCAATCCCTTCTCCTCCATTCTCCTCTTGGGATCTTAGGCACCCACGCACACACACCCAGTGTGAGTTTAAGCCACCAGGTCCGGGACTTGAACCGCGGTGGACTACATGGGAGTCCAGCGACATAGCCATTACACCAACTGCTGGTCCTTTCATAGTTCTTATTGAGATAGGCTAATGCTTCTGCCAGAGTTTCAATTTGCATTTCCAGATTAGTCTTGGACAAGGTCAGGCCACCCAGGACTTGGTCTTCCATGAGGCCATGATGTAATCCATGTGACATTTTAGATATATTGCCAAGGTAATACAGAAAAATCAAATGCTTTATTTTTTGTGGCTACATTATAGCCCACTGTCTAGATCCACATAGTTTATTCAGTTATTTTCTTCCCTAATGGCCATTCGGGTTGTTTCCATGCTTTTGCACTTTTAGAAAATACTACAATATACATATACCAAAGGGACTAAGGACTCTAACAATTTTCTTTTTCTCTCTTTTTTAGAATTATTTGCTTAATTTTATTTATTATTATTTTTAATTTGCTATAGGGTAAATGTGCTCACCAGAGACAGGGAGAGAAGGAAAGTGAGAAAGCAAGCCATCAGGTCCAGGACTCGAACCACTGTAAGCCATTGGGAATCCAGTACCTTAAATATCAAGCTACCTTCTGATCTTCTAAGAGGTCTTAATTGTTGTTAAGGTATGAGGCACTGTCAGTCACTAAGATAATTCCTTTCGCAGTTGTGACAATTTGTTTATTTGTTTAGGTTTGCTATGGGGCACATGTATTCGCCAGAAAGAGAAAAAGAGGGAGAGGGAAAGGAGAAACCACCCCCTGGGGAATGGCCATGCCACAATCTCCTCCCCTCCATTCTCCTCTCAGGATTTTGGGCATGCATGCATATGCACCCAGCATGATTTTTAAGCCATGGGGTCTGGACCTTGAACCACACAGTTGGCTATGTGGGATCCAGTCGCCCTATCCATAATGCCACTTGGCTGGTCCATGATCAATATTTATTAGCATCCCAAAATGAGTAGCCCTGCTTTCTTAATTTCTTAGAATACCCCATATTATATTATATATTATTATAACATTATCTTTGGCGGTTATAGCAGTTTTCAGAACTTGGACAAGTTTTGTGGTAGATGGGTTGGAAGACAGTATCTGTCTTTGAAACGTGGGTTTTCCTTCCCAACTGATAGCCAACCTGTGTCTCTGGACTGAGTTTGAGTTCTTCCCCTCTCTGCAACTTGTGGGTGTTTCTGCAGTGCCTGCTGTGCACTGCCTGCTATGAATCTTGTTTCTTGTTTCTAATGTTTGTGAGGATGGAAAACTTTCCTAGCATCCTCACCATTCTCGTCCATTATCTCTCGAGGTCAGAAATACAAGAACAACTCTATGAATCTTTAAATCAAAAGTCAACAGGTGAATATCCATATGTATGTAGGCCTTGGATTTTTGTTATTATGAGTAGCTTCAATCTCAGAAGAAAGAAACGTATTCCCTTATTTAAAAGGTGACTGGTGGGCTGGCCCTGTAGCCTAGTATTTAAGAGAGCCAGCTCCCACATGGGTGACAGCAGTTTGAATCCTGACCCGAGTGACTTGAAAAACAAGCCATGTGCATGTGCGTGTGTGCCCAAAATCCCAATGGAGAAAGGCGGGAGAAGGGATAGTGACATGACCATATCCCATTGGAGGTTGTTTTTCTCATTCCTTCCATGTCTCTCTCTCTTTCTGGTGAGTGTATGCACCTTCTGGTACTTAAAAAAAAAGTTAAAAGAGTTGGCTAGAGAACTGACCTTTTGAGTTAAACAAACAAATTTAAAAAACTGTATTCCTGGGCCAGGCAATGGCACCTTCCCCTACTATGGAAGGTCCTGGGGTGTAAATATGACATGCTGGGTGCCTGCACATATGTCCGTGATCCAGGCTGGCTGAGACTAGGGGTGGATCATGGTGTGAGAATCCTGTCGGGTTGCCTTTCTCTGTGTTTCTCTCCCCTCTCCTCTCTCTGTGTGTTTGTCTCTGTCTCGTAGAAAAATGTAAACTTTAAAAAACCCATACATATTCCTGCTATGTAGTTTAAAATGAATTTTAGGGCAGGTAATAATGTATAAATAGCCCATTTTTTACCTTTTATTCAGCACTCTAAATATCCTGATCCAAATGGTTCAATAGTTTCAATAAATTTTTTGAGAGATTTTTCTTAGGGCTCCCCCAGAAGGGATGGCCATGCTGCAATCCCTTCTCCTCCATTCTATTCTCAGGATCTCAGGCATACATGCACATGTGCCTGGCGTGAGTTTTAAATTCCTGGGTTCGGGACTTGAACTGCAGTTGACTATGTGGGAGTCTAGTGACGTAACCTTTACATTATCTGCTGTTACCTCAATAATTTCAATATTAGAAATTGAAATGTTCTTAGTAGCACATTCTATTGTCTTCCAGTATCTTGGTACCTATGAGCTGGCCACCTCTTTATCTGTAAGTGACCATTTTGTACAAACGCGGCATCTTAGCACAGGCCGAGAAAAAGAGTGAAGGTTTTCTCCTTGAGGTAGGTTTTGGGGCAGCCTCGTACTTCAGCCCTGACCTGAGGATAATACCAGCCACAGTCATAGTTCCCAGAAGGTCAGGTCCACAGCTAGATGGCTAGACCTGGGAAGTCCCCTTGGAAAGCTCCCCTGATGTGGCCATGATGACCCTGGGGGTTGGAGGCTGCATGTGGCAGGTTTCCATTCTGTCCTTTGGCCATGAATCCAGGCTGAGTCAGCTGGTTCAGTGGAAGAGAAACATTCAGGCTTTTATTTTCCATAATGACTCAAAACATTGCTCCTTTTCTTTGAGGAGTGGTATCACGCTTAGCTGTGAATTTCATTCTGTGGCTGGCTATTACAGCAGATACCAGTGTGCCCACTCATTTATGTTTTATTCAATGTGCCTACTAGATTAAAAGTACACTTCGGGTTGTTCTGATGATTAAGGTTTGATATTCTTTTTTTTTTTTTTGGAGAGATTTTTCACTGTAGGGCGTGTGCACTCGCCAGACAGACAGAGAGAGACATAGAGACAGAAAGCGAGAAATCACCCCCCAGGGTGGATGGTCACGCCGCAATCCCTTCTCTTCCATTCTCCTCTCGGGATCTTGGGCATGCACGCACACGCGCCCGGCGTGAGTTTTAAGCCACCGGGTCCGGGACACGAACCGCGGTCGACTACGTGGGAGTCCAGCGACATAGCCATTACGCTAACTGCTGGTTCCCTAAGGTTTGATATTCTTATATAACTCTTGCTGGTTTTATATATGGAGGTAGAGTTTGTAAATTAGGTTCAAATTTATTTTCTGTTGTGTCTCAAGTTCTTTTCTTTAGGACTGACTATGGCAGTGATCCTCTAACTTGTGAACTGGTCATGTTAAATTTCTTGAATGAGAAAGTCTTTACCCAGCCTGGTCCTATTTTTGGTTCTTCCTGAGACCTGTACTATTTATTATTATTATTTTCTAACTTGCTATAGGTCACGTGTGTGTGTGTGTGTGTGTGTGTGTGTGTGTGTGTGAGAGAGAGAGAGAGAGAGAGAGAGAGAGAGAGAGAGAGAGAGAGAGAGAGAGAGAAAAAAAGTAAGTGAAAAAGCAAGCCACCGGGTCTGGGTCTCAAACCATGGTCAGCCATGTGGGAGTCCAATGTCTTAACCACCACACCACCTGCTGGCCCCAACTTGAACCATCTTCTGCCCACCTTAATAGGCTTTATTATCTGAAGCAAGATAAGACAGAGCCATGTGGCTTCAACGTGGATACTGTAGAATTGAAAGAATAGATGACCACCCAGGAGGTAAAAGACTTTGGCAATGGAGAGTAGGGAAAAGAAACATCAACTTGGCCCCATGACAATTTTCCACTAAATTTGGCAAAGGAATAAATATCTGAGCATTTCTTCTCTTTGGGGCTTTCAAGGTTTTAAGAAATCTGGCACCATATTGCATATCTAATCTTATTTCCCAATGCTCTTTATTTGGCCTATATCATAAACATCCTGCAAACATGCCATGTCTGATTCCTGTGGTTCTTCTGGCGAATATTGTGAAATCAAGCCCTAAGTACTAACACCTTTTTTGTTGCTATCATCATTTCAAATAATTTTTTCTTCTTTATGTTTTAACTTTCCTTCTCACATAAAATGTGAGCTTCTTGAAGTATGAGGCTATCTTAAGTTTCTTTTTGCATCTTATTTATTTATTTTTAAATTTTATTTTATTTTTTTTTGAGAGGTTTTTGCTATAGGGCATGTGAGCTTGCCAGAAAGACAGAGAGAGACAGAGAGACAGAAAGTGAGAAATCACTCCCTTCTCCTCCCTTCTCCTCTTGGGATCTTGGGCATGCATGCATACATGCCTGGTGTGAGTTTAAGCCACCAGGTCTGGGACTTGAACTGTGGTCGACTACATGGGAGTCCAGCGACGTAGCCATTAAGCCATCTGCTGGTCCCCCTTTTGCATCTTATAAATACCCAGTCCAGTAATGGACATAAAGAAACTAGGCATTACTTAATTATAAGTTGGTTATTCAAATAATCTCATCCTTCTTTGTGGACTATGCTGGTGGTGCTGTAATTTTAGGGATATTGAAGTCTAATTTTAGCTAGTGTGTTACTGAGTTGTCATTAAACGTGCTCTCATACAAATGACTATAATCTTGATTTTTATGAAGAAGGCATGATATAAATAATGAATTACTATTAGTAGCATAATAATGCGGCTAGATCAAAACCAATAGCTTCATTCCTAGGCAAAAGTACTGACTTTCTCTAAAAAAATTCAGAAATAATTTAGTTAACTTGCAAGAGTCAGTTTATTGAAGCATAGAAACAATTAGGGCAAAGAGGTCATTTCAACTTTTTTAAGAGCAATTTGAAAAGAAAATGAGAGGATGCAGAAAAATCAACCCGTCATCTACTGCTGGACTGCAACTTTTCCTCGAAGTTTTCCGGAAAGATGAGTAGGTTGATGCAATTTCTTCACTGGTGTCCTTCTTGATTCTTTTTCTTTGAAAGACACTTGCCAATCCGGAAATTGCTTATTTAACTTTCACCTCAGAAACATTGCTGACTTGAGATGAGACGACTCTGCCATCCACCACCTCCTCTACAATGGTCTTAGTTACTCTAGTCTTGTTGGGATCTGAAAATCAGGAATCACAATGTCAGTCTGGAAACTGTCACAGAAATGCAGATCAGGAGAACTTTAATCACATTAATTAAGTATGACCGTCTTTGGGCAAGAGTATATAAATAAGAGTATATACTTTTAATATGGCAAGCAACACTTGCATTTACTCTTAAAGCATAAAATTATCATCAACATAAAAAAAAAGAAAATCTACCTCTGCTTTGACCAGAACAGCTTCCAGATCTTGAATCACCAGATACTATATTCCTGGATCCCATGTTTTGGGATCCTGTGTTTCTAGATCCTCCGAGAGAAGAACCACTGGAGGTTAAAAAAAAAAAATTAATAAAGAATTAGGCTTTCCTTTGCAGCTTGGCGAGGTAGAAGAAGCCCTCCATGCTGAAGACGAAGATTTGGCTATCTTTGCTTGGACTATGTCTGTTACTTTATTACTTTGTAAATACAAGTCCAACCTCCTTTGGGAATCTCTTTCAGTTTTATGAAAAGAATTCACCAAGGTATGCATGTTAGCATGCTCACGACTCTCACTTACCCTCCCTCTCCATCAAGCAGGCGGCGGTAGGTCTCGATCTCCATCTCCAGGCGTGTCTTGATGTCCAGCAATTGCTCGTATTCGGCGTTCTGGCATTCGGTCTCGCCCCTTATCTGACAGATCTGCTCCTCCAGGCAGCTGATCTTCACCTGGATTTCCGACAGCTGAGCCATGTAGCCCGCCTCTGTGTCAGCCAGGGTCCCTTCCAGGGAGCTTTTCTAAGAGAAAAAGCAAATACAAATTCATGATGAAAATAAGTCATTGGATGCTTTTTTAAAAATACAATGTTATATGCTACTAGAAGGACACCTTCACCAAGTTACAGCTATATTGTCATGCCATTGCTTTTTACATTTTTACTGGCATTAATTACTCTTTAAACTAAATCTTGGATGGTAAGAGTTCATTATCTTTAACTGTTTTATGCTTTCTATCACTATAAAATAGTTTTCCATAATATTGTTTTTATTATGTGCCTAGGGACTATCTCGTCAAGGAGAGAAAACTACATTTTGCTTAACTCCCTGTCGGAGGTTTTGAAAAGCTATTTGCACATACCATGGCTAGCTGGGATTGAAGCTCTATTTCCAGGGCTTGCAGACTACGTTTTAGTTCAGTTATTTCACTCTTGGCGGAACTGGCTGCCCCAGCATCCGTAGAGATCTGTGCTTGTAGTGATGCACTCTAAATAAAAATAAAATGCAGTTGCTGTAGGCTGCTGAGAGGAGAAGTGGCTCGAGTGTGGCTGCAGACTTAGAGGCTCAGCAGAGTTAATCTACCTGCTTGTTGAACTGCTCCTCAGCCTCCCTGCGGTTCTGCTCAGCCAGCTCCTCATACTGTGCTCTCATGTCATTCAGCAATTTGGTCAGGTCAGTTCCTGGAGCAGCATTCATTTCCACGGTCACATCGCCTCCAGAGCTTCCTTGCATGCTCTTCATTTCCTAGCATGAAGTTAAAAAGACCTTAGTGACGCGCTCAGAAAAGCAATGATTTCCTAACATGTCCATAGTCAACCAAAATTTGAAACTAGGTTACTGAAGCAGAAATAAAACCACCCAGATTGAGGTATACTATAATCATTATTACTAGTTTTTCTGGGTCATAAGATGTGGGAAACTCATTTAGGTAAAATTGAGTTTATTTGTTTTCTATAGAATGGACGCACGGGAAAATAAGTAAGGGTTGTTCATTTAGGTGAGATGTGTTCCTACCTCCTCGTGGTTCTTCTTCAGGTAGGCCAGTTCCTCTGTGAGACTCTCAATCTGCATCTCCAAGTCAGAGCGAGTCATGGTCAGGTCGTCCAGGACTTTCCGCAGGCCATTGATGTCAGCCTCTACACTCTGCCGGAGATAGAGCTCGTTCTCATACCTGGAAGGGGCAGCAGTAAGGCAGTATGGTGAGTGGGTAGCTGGCCTGACCAAATTTCAGAGTACCTTCCAATCTTACCTACTGAAGAAGTTTCTCTTCCAAGCATTTTGATAAATGAAGACTAATTTTTTTTTTCATAGAAAGTTTCCCCCCATTAAAAAAAATGAGACTGGTGTTAATTCTAATCATGCTTAGTAATTTTAATAACAATCCTTAATTTGCCTCTTCCTTTTCCTTCCTTTCTTCCTTCCTTCCTATTTTGGTGGAATAATGGTTTCTAAAATTTATCCTTGGAATGTTCACGAATTTAGGCCAGGATCCCCTAAAAAGATTTCTTTTTTCTTTTTGTAGAAAGATTGCATTTTATTTTTCCTACAGCACTTATTTCCAGGTCTTTATGTTCCTTTTTCTTTTTTGGAGAAATTTTTGCTATAGGGCATGTATGCTCACCGGAGAGCCACAGAGAGACAGAGAGACAGAAAATTAGAAATCACCCACTAGTGGGGGATGGCCATGCTGCAGTCTCTTCTCCTCCATTCTCCTCTTGGGATTTTGGACATGCAAGCATATGTGCCCAGTATGAGTTTCAAGTCACTGGATCCATGGTCTACCCAGTGGGAGTCCAGCACCTTAACCACTCTACCACCAGCTGGCCCCAAGATCTTTGTTTCTTACTTCAGTCTGAAGTCATCAGCAGCGAGTCTAGCATTGTCAATTTGCAAAACGATCCCAGCATTTTCAATGGTGCAAGTCACGATCTAGAAAAGACAATAGTGAATGAATTACAGATGATTTTACCCTGTGTCTGTATGCCTACGTGTAAGGTAGAAGTCCCCAGTGTTACTAGGTCTTAAAGGTGAACTACTTTGCAAACTTACTTAGCAATGACATGTATATTTAAAACTACTTTTCTGCAAAAGGGTTTCAGTTTGTACATCGATTGGAATGGGCACAGAACATTGTTTTACAGGACACGGCTTTTTGCATATTTCTGCTGCTTTGGAAGATCGGTTATTTCATGAGCTCTTTCAGAAAATAGTACGAAAGTTAGATTTTACTTCAAAAGCCAAATAGTCCTAAAGACTAGATGTAACAAAACACTAAAACATGTCAACCCATCAAAATTAATCATGGAATAACTAGGTTAAACAAAAGTTGGCTCATAGACTTCACACTTACATATAATTAGCTACTGGGCATTGCACAAATTTTACTCTTATACAGAAATACTGAAAGTTGAGATGCACACAGGAAATTAATGTGGTTGGATGTCATATGCAGTACTGTCATAATTAAGACACGAGTGTCCCCATTTTGTACATACAATAAATAAATATGTTTTCAAACAATTCCTTGAATTAATATTTTTTTGTAAGACCTGATCCGAGTAAAAGTGAGAGATACAGAAATAATAGAAATTCAGTCATCAATACTGCCTCACCTGGTTCTTGAGATCTTCAATTATTGGGTAGTATTTGCTGTAATCTCGTCCAGATCCACCGTCTCCAGACCCAGGGCCAAATTTCTCATACCACTCTTTAATTTTGATCTCTAAATCAGCATTGGCCTCCTCCAGGGCCCTGACCTTGTCTAGGTAACTGGCCAGGCGGTCATTGAGGTTCTGCATGGTTTGCTTTTCACCTCCAGAGAAAAGCCCCCCATCACCACCAACACCACCTCCCACACCACCGCCATAGCTGTAGAAGCCTCCACTAGCACCACTGCCAAATCCAGAACTTCCCCCGAATCCAGAACTTCCCCCGAATCCAGAACCTCCACCAAACCCAGAACCTCCACCGAATCCAGAGCCCCCACCAAAACCAGCCCCAGAGCCTGAAACACCTCCAAAACCTCCCCCTACTGAGCAGCTACCAAAGCCCCCTCCAAAGCTGCCTCCAAAGCCGCCGCTGGATCCCCCACTCAGGCCACAGCTGCTAGCTCCTCCCCGGAAGCTCCGGGAAGAGCCACCTCCAAGACCACATTTGCTTCCACTGCTGAAGCTGCTTCCGCCAGAGGACACCCTGATGGAGCTGGAGCCTCCAGCCCTGGACGAGGAGACTCGAGATGAACAAGACATGACGCTGCTGCGAATGGGTGGCTTGTCGAGCTGAATCGAGAGGTGACAGTGGAGAATGTGTTCAAGGCTGCATTTTTGGCTCTTATATACACGCTGGTAGGGTGGTTCTTTCCTCTGTCACTTCTTAATCCCTGTTACAGTTTTGCTAATCCATAATTGGATAATTTCTTTTTCGTGAACCCACTCTACTGGCTCTTTTTCTGAAGCTGGGTCAGAGCCCTGAGGCATTTACTATATCAAGAAAAAAAAAAGTGGAGCAAAGCAAAAATATTTTCCAAATTGCAGTTTTAATCTTTCAGACGTTTTGATGACTGGTTTTCTTTCTTTCTTTTTTTTTTTTTTTTGAAAGGATGATTTTACTAAATTTGCTTCATGATTTCCCAATTGCAGGGAAGAGCTCAAGATTAGCGAATGTAATTAAAATAATAAGAATGAAAGTTTCCCAAGAAACATGGAACTTTTTGTTCATATTGTTCTCAAAAGTCAAAATTGGCTATAATATTGGCGTTAGTTTCAGGCTTAATTAAGCGTCCTTCTCTTTTTTTTATTCCAATTAGCATATTTTTAAGGTAATGGGAGTTTGTAATTTTTAAGTTATTGCTTTCTTTGTATTTTGAGATCAAACTGCATGTTTTTACTCTTAGTGTGGAAAACTGAAATAAACAAAAGTGTTCCGTGTTAGTATTATAAGATTTCAAGTGACATATTTACTCAAGTGCGGAATGCCTAAAAAAAGACTGGCAAGTTTTTAGACAGATCATTGACAGAGGTTAGAGTTACATTGTAACTGTAAAGATGTCACAAATACTTTTTGCTTCTGATCGTATTCTAGTCTGATAATAATATCAACTTCCTTCTTTAGAATCATATCTTAAGAATCAAAGAGATGATGTTAATTTTTGTCTTTATTTTAAAGATAACCAGAGAATAGACTCTGAACTCACTTCTGATAACCATATTATCCTTGGAGTCATTTTACATATGTTAAAATCTAGAATTTCCCCTCGTCTACTCATTACTCATATTTTATCTGCTTTTGTTTAAAAGGTACTTAGAAAAGAGGATCGGTATCTACTTCTGATAATTAATATTATAAATGGAGTCATTTATAGATTTTGAAATCTGAAACTTTCCAGTTCACATTCTGCCTTGTGTTTTTTGTTTCTTTGTACTTAAGATTATTTCTCTTCATCTATGCTAATAATTTCTCTGGCTTAAAGATATCTTTTTAAAAGACAAGTACTGGGGGAAGGCAGGTGGCATGGTGGTTAAGGTGCTGGACTCCCACATGGTCTACTGAGGTTCAAGTCCTGGACCTGGTGGCTTGCTTTCTCACTTTCCCTCTTTCTCTGGTTAAATTGAAAAGATAAATAAATAAAATAATTCTTAAAAAAAAAGACCAAGTACTGTAGGATTTCACCTAGGAAGTCACAGAAAATACAATGTTAGTTGCCAGGGACCGTGGGAGAAGGGATTGGTAGTTGTTTAATGGGTATACGGCTTTAGCTTTCCCATACGAAAAGAGCTCTGAAGACCAGTTGCACAACATTGTGCGTATAACACTGCTGCACTAGATGCTTAAAAATCATTAAGGCACTGGATTGCCACATGGCTGGATTTTCCAGGGTAGGGTCATGGACTTGGTGGCTTAAAAATCACACTGGACGCTGGGCATGTGGGTGGCGGAGAATGGAGGAGAAAGGATTGTGGTGTGGCTCTCCCTCTCGAGGGGAGATTTTTCTATTTCCTTCTCTGTCTGTTTCTGCCTCCCCTGCCCCCTCCCTGGGAAGCACAGGGCCCCTATTGCAAAAGTCTTTAAAAGGAAAAAAAGATTAAGATGGCAAATTTTGTTATGTGCATTTTGTCATAACTTATCTTCTTCTTATTTTTTTTTTTGAGAAGTTTTTGCTATAGGGGATGTGCACTCACCAGAAAAAGAGAGACAGAAAGACAGAAAGTGAGAAATCACTCCCCAGGGTGGATGGCTACTCCACAATTGCTTCTCCTCCATTCTCTTTTTGGGATCTTGGGTATGCACGCACACATGCCTGGAGTGAATTTAAGTCACTGGGTCCGGGACTTGAACCGCAATTGACTACATGGGAGGTCAGCGACATAGCCATTACTATCTTTTTTTTTTTTTAATTGCCAGAGAGGACATGCACTTGCGAGAGAGAGAGAGAGAGAGAGAGAGAGAGAGAGAGAGAGGGGGTGGGGTGGGGTAGAGGACGCCCCCAAGGATGTAGTCATGTTGTAATCATTTTCCTTCTCTTTCTCTTTCCGTCAGGATTTTTGGCATGCACATGCACATGCCAACGTGTTTTCCAGGCTGCCAGGGCTGGGTTTAGAACCGTGGTTGGCCATACAGTGCTTAACTACTGCACTCCAGGCTGTCCCATTGCCACAACTTTTAAAATAGTGTCTTTTTTTTTTTTTTGAGAGGTTTTCGCTATAGGGCACATGCACTCGCCAGACAGACAGAGAGAGACATAGAGACAGAAAGCAAGAAATCACCCCCCCCAGGGGGGATGGCCACACCGCAATCCCTTCTCCTCCATTCTCCTCTCGGGATCTTGGGCACGCACACACATGCTCCTGGCATGAGTTTTAAGCCACTGGGCCCAGGACGCGAACCGCGGTCGACTACGTGGGAGTCCAGCGACATAGCCATTATGCTAACTGCTGGTTCCCAGATAGTGTCTTTTTATTTAAAGTATAGATGTTTCTAAAATTATGTCTTGGAGAGGTTTTTTTTTTTTTTTCCCTATAGGGCATGTGCGCTCGCCAGAAAGACAGAGAGACAAAGAGAGAAAACGAGAAATCACCCCCCAGGGGGGATGGCCACACCGCAATCCCTTCTCCTCCATTCTCCTCTCGGGATCTTGGGCACACACACACACGCACCCAGCATGAGTTTAAGTCACTGGGTCTGGGACTTGAACCACGGTCGACTAAATGGGAGTCCAGTGACATAGCCATTACGCTAACTGCTGGACCCCCAAATTATTTCGTATCTTGGCAATCCCTGTTAAAGCATGTACATGCTTTAATCTTTATAGTCAACTATTATTATTATTTTGGAGAGGTTTTTGCTATAGGGCGCGTGCGCTCGCCAGACAGACAGAGAGAGGCATAGAGACAGAAAGCGAGAAATCACCCCGCAGGGGGGATGGTCATGCTGCAATCCCTTCTCCTCCATTCTCCTCTCGGGATCTTGGGCACGCACACGCACCTGGCGTGAGTTTTAAGCCACCGGGTCCGGGACATGAACCGCGGTCAACTACGTGGGAGTCCAGCGACATAGCAATTACGCTAACTGCTGGTTCCCTGTAGTCAATTAATTGTCATCCAAGATTCTGCCTTCTTGTACTTTTTTCTTAGGCTACTTTCATTGGGACACATTATCAAATACATAAAATAGATGATGATTCACTTTACTATGTAGCTCTTTGGGTTATTTAATTAATTAATTTATTTTTAAAGGTTTTTGCCTTAGGATATGTGCGCTGGCCAGGGAGAGAGAGTGAGAGGGAAAGTGAGAAAATGCCCTTGGGGGGATGGTCATGTCACAATCCCTTCTTCTCCATTCTCCTTCTGGGATCTTGGGCGCACACACACACACAGTGTGATTTTCAAGCCACCGGGTCCAGGACTCGAAACATGGTCAGCCATATGGGAGTCCATCAATGTAACCACTATGCCAGCTTCTGGTCAGATGGGTTATTAGTATTTACGATTTATCTGTTCTGTTTTTGCAATAGTGCGAATTTGCTGTTCTTCATATTTTGGGTGACATCTTTCCAAAGGGTACAAGGTGTTTTATAAACTCTTCAATTGTTAAACAGGGAGTAGTTCTCTTAACGCCCTTCTTAGGTAGGTAAAAAATGCACCAAAGTAATAGCTGGTCATCTTACCTTACCCATCCCTAAAGCTATGAAACCGAAGTTTAAACACTAATGATTAAGTGGTATGCAAATGCTGGAGATGAGAGGAACAGTCATCTTTTTTTTTTCTTTTTAAATTAGGATATATAATCTTTCCACCTTCTTAAAGGGTGGCATTTGGCAAAATGAAGAGGTAAAGAAAGGAACAATAGCTAAGCGAAAGACATCGATAAACCTCAGACATTTAAAAGCCAGGTGGAAAGAGCTTTATGTGGAATGAGAAGAGACAAGATTTAACAGTATCTGTCGTCTCTGAACTTTGCCTTATGCTTTCCTCTAACCGACATCTGAGTTGTAGCTTTTTTCATTTTGGCAGGTTTTTTTTAATTTTTATTTTTATTGTGTGCTTTGGGATATTTGGACGTTTGAGTCTCAGTTGAGGAAGACTGTGATGACTGAGGTATTCAGCCTTGCTTCTTATGTCTTATCTGTCTTCTTCATATAATTTACGATGCTGGCATACATCTCTTTATTCTTGAAATTCAGCTTCAAAATTAGATTCTTCAGAGATGCTTCTCCGAGATCCTTCAGAGATGATCAATGGGAAGGGCTTTTAGTGAATAAAATAGCCATTACTGCCCCAAATTCTTTGCCTAATGAGTCAGTGTACAAATAAATACTTTATTTTTAAAAAGTTTTTAAAAGCTCATAGGATTTTTTTTAAAACAAGAATTATTTATTTAATTTTATTTATTATTATTATATTTTAATTTGATCAGAGAGAAGGAAAGGGAAAGTGAGAAAGCAAGCCACCAGATCTGGGGTTCTAATCATGGTTGGCCATGTGGGAGTCCGGCGCCTTTACCACCATGCCACCTGTTGGCCCCCATAGGGTTTGTTCTATGGCTATTTCCTTAAAAATCTCATGTTTTCTTTCTTTCTGTTCTGTCTATGTGGCATATTTAAAACAATGATGAATCTGTTGAACAGACTAATCAGAGATTCTATGATTCTAAACTGTCTAGAATGTTGTTTAGTAGATAAGAGATTTTAATCACATGTATAAATGCAATTCTGTTCTTGCTTGAAGTGCTAGAAATTAGTCCTCATTGTTTTGAAGCATCCCCAAATTCAATACCCATTTTCTTTATT